TAGAAATTTTAGCTTTGAGGGTAAGAGCAAAAAAAGTATTGGTGGAATTTTGTCATCGGACATTAATTCAATCATCAAAAATTATGATGAATCGAATACTGAAATCAGTGATCAAATTATTAGTACTACAAAAAATCATAAGGTTGATGAAGATATTCCCGTTATAACAACTGAAATGCCTTCTGCTATTCAAGTAAGTATCAAAGTTGAAAATCCGAAAATTATTCATAAATCAAAGAATTCATTTGCTACTCTAAGTTCGAAAGTTATTGAAGAATCAAGGAACTCATCAGATATTGGAAGTCTGGAATCAAGATCGAGAAGTCTTTTTTATCCATTTGCATCAACAAGCAAAACTTTTACTTTATTAACTTTGAACTCTGAAGAACATAACTTTGCTAGAGAGGTTAATAATACTACTTCAAGTTTTCAAATAGAGAAGCAAATTTTTGACAGTGGAAAGAAGCAATCAAAAATAATGGAATCTTCTTCACCATTAACTTCAAATTATTATTCTAAGCTTTCAAATGAAGTAGCCAGTAATTCTACAATAAATAATGGTACTGTCGATGGAAATAGAGTGAAAATAAACGCAGAAATAGCAAATTCCTCATCTAAATTTTTGGGAAAAAATGTAGTAGTAAATATTACTGCTCCTAGTTCATCTGCAAATTCTGCAACAGAATCGAATGTTCAGTCTGTATCAAGTTCGAGACAGCGGTCCACTCAATCAGGATTTTTCCTACCAGAAATATCAGAATTTGATAATTACACCAGTAATGATATCAAGAAGAAAACGCTTGGTATACCAAACGATATATTATTTTATGATAATTCTTCTACAGAAACATCCTCTCTTTCGACAACAACAACAATTAATGATAAATTGATATTTCAAGGAGATACAGAAGTCAAATATTCAGGAAGTGATCAAAGTAAGAAATATTTATATAATTACAAATTATCACAATCATTATCACCTTTATTATCATCATTATTAATATCTGAAGACGATATGAACAACAGAAATACTTCAGATGTCAATAATAGTTCAATAATTTCTACAAAACACGAAAGTGATGAATCGAGACTACTCTCAACTATTTCTGCTTCAACAGTAAAACATAATTCAAATTCTCAAGAACTACAGCATTTTTCGAAAAATCCAAATCAAACAATCTCTGATAATATCCAGAAAAAAGTGCTTGTTGACTATGAAATTTTGGACGACAAATTTTTGGTATCTTTTGTCGAATCACTTGCACATGAAATTTCTACCGAAATCAATAAAGATAAACCGAATTTGCTTGCAGAATCAACAAATAATACTAGTAATTCAGTATCACATAAGAGTGAAGCAAAATTAAATTCTGGAAATGAGTTAGAAAATACGAATATTTCTAAAAAACCTTCACTACCAGGACCACATCCTTTCAAGAACGAAGTCTCATTAACAACCACCACTACTTCGCGAGCAGCTATGAAGACTGTTTCTAGTGAATCATTAACAAGTATGAATGTAGATGGCTCATCAATATCTGATACTTCATTACTACATTCTTCTGGAAGCGATATTTTTGGTGGTTTGATAGGTAATTTCAACAAAGAATCATCAACAACAACAAAGACTTTTACAAAACTCAAAGCTAATGTTGATAATTCAATATCAGATCTCGATTTTGATTTACTAGGAAATTCTACTTCTATATTTTTTTCACCTAATAAAATTATATTCGACGATTTTATCTTAAATTCGAGTTCAAAATTATCATCTAATACCAAGTCTCATGTAACTGCTACATCTGATGGAATTATGTTTGATGATATACTTTCAAGAATAAATACAGAATCATCCAATTTAGGTGATGTAATATCATCTCCATCATCTACTATGATTGTTTTTGATGATTCCAACTTAAATTTTGTTTCAGAATCATCAACAGTTAGTGATCCTGCTCTTAGTACAATGAATGGAGCTAAACTTGATGATTCAGTTTCAGACTTGAAGATGGTATCTGCACGAGCAACAACACCCATGTCTTCTTTAACTATTACATCTGATGAAGTTATGTCTCACCATCAAAAATTCAAATCTATTAACAATGAGAGCTCTGCTTCGGATCACAAGATAAATGATGAAACCAGTACTGCATCTGATTTTTATACTATTCCTGATCAAAAATTCTTGATTCATACTTCGACACCTGCTTATCTTCTGAAGTTTCAATCAACTACTGAAAGCTCTATTACACCTTCAACTGGATTGATAGAAAAATTCAACAATGTTGCAAAATCTAAAACAACTGAAACTCCAGATATTGCTTTCCCGATAGTAAAGCCCACTTTCAATTTTACATTACCGAAAATACTATATAATGTAGAAACAGCATCATATGTAAATCGAACTGATGAAAATTATACTTATTTATTAGTTGATGAAGTGGATTACGATGAGATGCAACAAGCAAAAGCAGTATCGACTTCATCTGATGTAACTTCTGGTTTTCAAAGTTATTTTAAATTTGTTGATTATTCAGAAGATAATTCGTACAATAATTTGTATTCATTCGAAGTAACTGATCAGCCTATTTATTCTCCTGATGAGCCAAGTTTAGGTAAATTAGATCTTCAAGGAACAAAAATACTTAAAGGAGAGAATCAATCACTTGATGAATCCAACACAACAGTTAATGAGGAAAATATTTTCAATTTAAACGAGCAAGTTGAAGATTTAAAAAATTTATCAAGAATTAAAGGGCATTCAGGGTCACATGTGACTGATAAAGTAAATTCTCTAAAAAGAATAATGGCATTACCAATTACTTCTGAGAATTTTATGGTTACAAATCGAAATGGAAATTTTGGACAAAAATTGGTAGAAGTGATTTCAGTCGAATTGGAAAATAAATTTTCAGAAAACAAAGATAAAGAAGTAAATGCTAATACAGTATCACAAGCAGAGATGCCTGATTTTACAGTAGAAATAGGTCAAACTACGCCAACAGAAATGACAAGTAGAGATACAGATGCAGGAGTGACGGAAGCTTACACGATAACACCGATAACAAGTACCAAGACAGTAACAGAGGGAGTAATTCTTAGTACTGAAGCAAAAGTGATTGATTATAGTACAGTAGCAATGATGACAAGTCCTACAATTAGCAGATTATTAGACGTTTTTGACCTTAATTTGGTGCCGGAAGAAAAAGCAGTAGTGGTTTTGACAAATTTTGGTAAAGATATATCGGAAACAGCACACAAACGTACAGTAACAGATCCTACAGTAATCCAGCTTACAACTGAAGAATTCTATCATTCGAATGCCAATAGCGAAAGAGATGAAATAAGTTTTAAATGGGATGATGCATCTGATTCTTCACCTATTACTTCTACAATTACTCCTGAGTTTCAAGAAATAGCTTCTTTAAAAAAAATGCATAAAAAAACAATCTATCGTGCACCGAAGAAATTAAGAGTTGAAAATTGGAGTCAGCATAATTCATCTTTACTAGGAATGCCAGTTCATGAACTTTCCATTCTAACTAATCAGAAGAAGATTACTCAATTATTAGATGAAATTACTGTAGGACAAACAGCCATTCCAACTTCTCCATCGTTCGAAGCATCACTTTCTAATCATGGAATCGATAATAATCAGAAGGAATTTGTAGAAGAAATTAAGAATGTCACTACTGATCAAAGATTCTAGTACTACAAATATTTCTGAATCATATTGGATAACAAAATCTTTCTATAGATCTCAGAAAATAAAGAATATGATAATAATTGATTGAAATTTATTGATTATTTTTGAGGTAAAAATTACCAGAACTTATTAAGAATTATTACTAAAGCAAAAGTTTTTAAGAAATGCTTATTAACATGAAAACTATTGCAAGTATTTATTATAATTGCTTATTAACTGATTTATTAGTGATATAAATGTATTCATTATTACATTTGGCAATATTAAGAATAATCGATAAATGTTACCGGAGTTATATGATCTAATGTTAACTGTAAACTTTTTCTTAGGTAACAGTTACCCATCAAAGTTTTGTATCTATTAAATGTTTGCTGTAAACATCAGCATACTTCAAACATTGGTCAGTATTATGCTAATTAAGAATCAAAAAATGTTCTACCAAATTTGAATAATCTGAGTTTGCATATTTTTATTTAGAGTGCTGTTGAATTTCTGTAATATTAAATTGTATTTGTTGTTTGAAAACGAGTTAGATTAAGATTACTTAGATACTATTAATAAGAATCAGTCTTGTTTTTGTAATTATTTGTGATCTTTTGCGATCAAAAACTTTTCATAATGCAAACTCGATTTCTTCAAATTTAAAAAATCATTTGAATCAATTTTGTTCAATCAATAAAGTTTTTATAATTTTTTTGGGGGAAAAATTAGATGAAGCATCTTTTGCTAGTGACCAATTAAAGTCCAGTTGAGTTTGATGATTTTAATATGAAGATATGCTGACCAGACAATCAGTCCTTCAAACTTTTTGTAAAATTATTAAATATTTTGGAATAATCAACTGATTGCTAACATATTTACTCTAATTTCTTGGAAGACTTAACTTTTAGGCATTAATTTTATATTTCAAATTTTCATTCTTCTTAAAAATTTTATCGTCTATTTTATAGCTTACTGTAGCAATTTCTTTTTGATTGTATATATAAACTTTTTGATATCCCAATTGCATTTGTAAATAAAAAGTTAATATTAAAGTTAATAGTAATATTTAAAAAGCTTGTAATTCATTAAAAAAACTTTTTATCAATAGTTGTAATAAATTATCAAAAGAAAGGTGATATTAGCAGTTCATAAAATGAGCAAAATTGTATTTGTTTGTAAAATGTTATTTTGTTTGTGAATAATTCAGTATTTCATTAAAGAAATTGTCCATTCTGTTGCTGTAGCAATGAAGATTTGACTGCTTTTTGTTGCAATGTTTTAATTTGTGAAGAATTTTCTGGTTTACATTTATTATAATAGTATAGAGAACAATAAATTAGTTATGATTTGTGATGGATTTACATAGTAAAAAATCCTTTACAGAAATTGAGTTGAATTGGATAATTCAATTTGACACAAATACTGAAATTACTCAAATTTGTTATTTTTTTGAATTAGTTTTTTGAGATATTTTTTAACAGAACACAAATTAAAACAAGTTCAAAAATATACAATAAATTCATGCAACCGAAAAAGAATTCTGATAGTACCAAAAGCTTTTTACAAAAACAAAAACTTCTAAGTTAACTTTGATAAGTCAATACGCATAAAAAAATTATTGTATCTCAATTAGTAATGCTGAGAAAAAAAATTTTCTTGATTTTTTAATTCCTGAAGGAAAAGTTACGCGATTATTGATTTTTTGTAAAAGTATAAGTAATGAATTTGATTCAGATTCTTTAATAAACTTAGTGACATAATTATTTCATCAAAGTATGAATATGATGAAAATTTATTGATACATAATATTATTGCAAACTTATTTATATGATTTGTTTGTTTTTTTTAAAGTAAGAAGACCTGAATTTAAAGATCACATTGTACGCACAGATGAACAACAATGATATACTCAAAATAAATATCAAAAATTAATATTAACTTTACAACTTTTGAATTTATAATAATTCAATGCATTTGACTGATATTTAAGTCTTTTTTCTTATTTTGAAAACTAAACGATAAAACTGTTTGAATTTTAGTAATTGAATTAACACTTACTTAAACTGAATAAAATTTGATCTGAAAAAAAAATTCTTTTGATAAAAATGCAAGTATCAAACTCAGGTCACTGCGAATTTTTTTTCTTCCGAAAACCCAAATATTTCAAAAATGAAGAATTCAAATCACATTATGTTCATACAATAGATTAGTTGAAATATTATTGAATTTGATTTTTTATTTAAAAACAACGATGCAATTATTTATTTATTTATTATTGTTCTTAATGGTGTTTTATTATTTGATTATGCAAATTTTCAGTAATCAAAAACGATCAAAACCTTTCGAATAGTTTCTCTAGTTGAACATGTTAATTTTGAATGCTCTACTGATATATTCTTCTATTGCTATTGCCATTAATCTGTGAGGAAAAAATACAATTTTAGCAATAATTTTGATTAAAGATTTATGTACAAAAAAAAATCGTAAAAAATAAATCAACAATTTCTATAATTTTCAAAAATGATAACAAAAATTTAATTCAAAAAATGGCATTAAATTTTTATTGTAAATAAACAATTTGCATGCACAAGTAAGACAAAATTTTTTATTCAATACAAAACAATATTACAAATACATAATTCTTATAATATTAATGATAAAATTGTAAAAATAATATTTGGTAGTTCAATAATAATTTAAATTAGCTTAGCATTTGTTCAAATTTTCTAAAGTATTTGACAACAAAGGAAAATTGTATACTGTTTTTTAACAAAATCAAAACTCAAAGTTAAAAGGTATTTTACAATATGAATAAAAAATAGTCGCAATTAAAAGAAATGAAATCTATTAATTAATTATCAACTTGAATTACGATATAC